ATCTATCTATCTATCTATCTATCTATCTATCTATCTATCTATCTATCTATCTATCTATCTATCTATCTATCCATCTATCCATCTATCCATCTATCCATCTATCATCAGTTTTGATAGCCCTCTCAGCACATACAACTCTGGACATGTTACGACTGAACGTGCAAAATAAATCCAAATTATAAAGAGCACAATAATGATAAGTCAATAATAATAGATCAAACCTCCACCAAGTTGGAAGCTAATAAAACTTAGCCTAGTTGAGAATCCAGTGAAATAAAACTGTTTATTAAAAACTGTGGGGGATGAAGTTTATCCATTTCTAAACACAAGGCCTTCCAAAGGATGAGGTCCACTAGAGAAGGCATATCATCTTGTCCAATATGTCCATGTGCCCTCACTTCAGGGAGAAGGGGGATTCCTAACAGGTCTTCCTGAGATGTTCTTACTGGATGAGCAAAATCGGTTCTGCCTTTATGTTGAGTTTTATGGGTTGCCTATATGTGTAAGTCGTGATATGCCTATGATAGGGCTCACACCAGAGTTTTGAAGTTTCCCATCTCAAAAATGTTTCAGAATTGGGCCTCAGCTATACATCCCTGCTCAAAAAGTATAACAGAATTAGTATCAATCTGGCCACCATACACAGTATTATTTCCTTATACAGTATTCCAAGATACGACAATATTCTGAGAATATTGGGAACAAGGATACATAGAACTCTTGAAATAATGTCAGACTCTGCTAATCTGCCATAATGATCCCTGAAGAAAAGCAGTTAGTAGGAAGCTTCCATGGTAGCCGGGTTAATCGATGATAGCATAATTCAGATACTTCTGATGCAAGTTCCACAGACTCACCACTCTGGTAGCAGAACTCCAGGGCTGATCCTTCAAGCTTGCAGCAGCAACAACAGGTGGAAGGGTCAGAAAAAAGCCCCAGGAGCCTTGAGTGACAGGCAGGCAGGCAGGCAGGGCAGAGCAGAAAAAGTAGGGCACAAAAAGAAGAGGCAGGATATAAGAAAAATAGCAAAAGAGGCTAAGAGGATGGCAGCACACACCTCTGAAGAAAGGAATATGATAGAGAAGAAAACAGAGGTCACATTTTCACAGCAGTAGGGTGAATTTGGCAACATCCTTATACCTTATAAATCAATTCACGTGAAGCTTTCTTGGCAAAAATCGACATCTGAAGATACTTGCTTTGTATGCTAAGTTGAAGCTAGCAGTGACTGAACTGGCTGGTACCTCAGAATATCATGAAACCTAAACTCCATTCCTGGGCCGGTTTTGTTAGGACCAGCAGTGCTGGGCTATAACAATCCAGACAATCATGACAATGGACCAAAGAATTAGCACATTCGGCGTCTCTCCCTAAACTTCCTCAGCACAAATTTGATAGTTTTCTCTGTGTGTGCGTGTGTGTATATGTAATAAAAATGAATGACAAAAAGGAGGCCCATTTTAAAAATACAAGAGGAGGATGGAATCAAGGTTCGGATTTGCCAGTCTGCACATCTCATCTTTTTAATGAGCCCCTGTGAGAGAGCTACCCAACCTTATAGCTAAGGGATGTGTTCTGAATTCTCCTTTTTAGTTTATGCCTGTTTCTATTTTTGCATCTCCGGCCAAAAGCCATTAGGAATGTCTGGTCTTTGGCACTTAAATTCATTAAGCATCAAGGGGAAGATAGGTAAGAGCCACTCTACATTTTCAGAGCAGTCACGTGACACAACCCAGTTGGAAGGGTACTATTTAAGAAGTCCACAAGTGGAACAATTGCACCCTTAAATGCTCCCTGTGCTGATGGTACACAGTATTCTTCAACCCTTCTCATTGTCAGCTGAGTAATGATTTAAGAGCTTTTTCCCTAGCCTCAGTAAAAAAGTCAGCTTTGCTAATCATTCCGGAGATCTAGGCTGCAAAAATCCCACAATCACAGAAAACAGCAAAAGAGATGCAAAGGACCCTATCTCTTGCTGCAAATAAAGCTGTGGGCAGAATGGAAGCAAACTTCCTTGTTAAGCTTTCCTTTTCCTGCCTTATTAGTCATTCCTGATACCGGCCTTAGGATTTTTCCCAACAATTATAAAATGCACACTTCAGATTTTAAACAGTGTATCCGCCAATGGAGAATGCTGATACGGCAAGGCTGCTCCAAAATGTTTCCCACCACACATCAAGACAAGATGGAGCCTCCCACATCACTCCTTCATGACTAATTGCCAGGCAGAAGTACAACAGGACGAGGCCTGCAAGCTCAAACCAACTGTCTTCTTGAGCCAGCCTTGTTTTTTCACAATGGCTTACCAAAGGCCTTCCATGTTGTTACTGGAAATAACATGTAGCCCCCGTGAGTAGTTGCCATGGAGAGATCAAGCTGCTGTTCAATCTGATTTAAAGATCTCACTGGGGTTTAAATGCCTTCACCTGCACTTGAGCTTTCAGAGAGTGCAAAGTTAGTTCAGGAAGCCCGTATTGGTCTACCTGTTCTTTTCCTTCTGAGGCAGGTGCCTCAGTCTGCCTAACAGTAGAGCCATCCTCTGTGATATGTTTTGGGTAAGAAATTGTCCCTCCTAATTAGGAGAGGTCTCTTTATAAAGCCATCCACACCTATCTGTATGGAAGAAGACACGTTTAAATATTCCTTTTGGATGGAGTGTGTGTGACTGGGTGATTGGTACCTTGCCCTCTTTTATACAAATGTGATGTATAAGACAGACGTTAAAAAGGGCAGTACTTCAGTTAACCGCCATTTTGTCATTCTCAGTCCTCTGCTAGAGTATCCACTTGCCCTTGGAAAAGTTATCAGGGGCCAAATGGGAAACTCCTGTCCACCAGTGGTTTTGTCCTGCTCTCTCATTATTTTCATATGGGATAGACTTCCCATTTTTGTTTCTGAGCCTTGACCCAGAACCCAAATGTTACTCCTTGGTGGCTGTTTCTTCTTCATTAACCATCAGTGGCCATTTTTCAGCAGCCTCCCTACCAGACCCTCCCTCCATGAACTCACCATCTCCAGCCACCTCCTGAATCTGAGAAGCTGTTGACTTGCAGCTCTTCTTACTGCTGGTGGTGCAGATGGAGGAAGTGGAGCTGATGCGCTGCTTCTTTGAGGCCTGGGGCTGCTTCTGCTTCACAGAAGCCTGAGGGGGAACCCCACAGCCATTGCCACAGGAGGCAAGGCGGAGAGGAACCTTCCCCTGTTGGGAAGACAAGCAGGACGTACTGGTGGCAATTGAAGGAGAAAGCTCTGCAACAAAATTGAAAAGAGAGGTAGAGGTGCAGGGCTGGCATCTGATCTATTTGTTATTTAGCTCATGGCAGAATAGCAACTCAAACAGCAATTTCCTTTCTGTAGTTAAGAATAGCTTTCTTGAGAAGTGGGGTAATATATATATATATTACTTCCTTCCAAGCCCTGGTTCCAATCTCTACTTCGACCACTCTGATCAAAGTGATCATTCATATTTTTAAACAAAGGTGAATTCTTTTCATTAATTAATGTCACCTGCTAATAATTACAACTCCCATAAGTTTAAATCGGCATTTTGGAGAGTTGTGGGTTCAATACATCACTTGTTGGGAAAGTATTTTATATTTGTCTGTAAAATCTATTAGCCGTCTATCCTACCTCTGAGGTAACTCTGGGAGGCTCACAATATTCGTCCACTAGTGATGAGTAGTTGAGCCACTGCTCCTAGAATCCATTCAGAAGTTGGTAATAAAATAGAAGAGAGAAATCCTCAAACACACAGGGACTAGTCATTTCAACCATGCTTAATTTAAACTTATATTAAACCAACTTTTACAGGGGGATGCTCAGCACATCACAGAAAGGCCAAGTGGATCCTCTTGTCCCAAAACAAGTTTGCCCATTGATGCTTTATACAGGCATTCATAGAACAGCAATATAAATAGTGGCTGGAGAAGACAACTTGGAAACGTTGCTGCAGATCCAAAGTAGAAACCTTTGTACCTAAGTTGGATCAATATGTATAGATCAACATAAATAATTGACTATCACAGTGGATTACAGACCATTACAATAGCCCAATATAACCAAGAAGTCTATTTTGGGTTCTGCTTATTAGCTGACATTATTGATGTATTCCTTTTTTTTGCTCTTGTCCATACCTTCTCACTAGCTTTGTAAAAGGAAGAGTTACTGGAGTTTAAGTCCTTAAACAAATAAATCTGGTTTTCAGGGAAATATATATTCTCTACTGCTTCTTAACGATCTGATCACCGAAAGCACAAATAGCCAGCTCTCTCCTTCTATACAGATGTATGAGTATGACTTTATTTGAGGAAAGGCAGAGTTCAATAATATCTATGGTGCAGTCTTATATTTACACTTAGCAAGAAGTAAATCCCCTTGAATTAAATGGATCCTAGTTCCAAAAAGACTATGTACAGAATTATATTACATGATACACTATACCATGTTTCAAAGCTCTGGAAGATACATAATTTAGGAGAGGAAGGACCGTTTAGGAGTGTGGGAAAGGAAACATTTACCATGTATGTTAGATCATGTAATTAGGTCTCAAAGTTATTTAGGTGGCTTTTTATTGTAATATACCACAAGCAATCATAAAAAGTGCTCTGGAATTGCACTACAGTTTGGTAATTTACATTAGGGACACAACTTTGAAATTTGCAGTGAAAGGGAGGGGAAAAAGGGAAGGAAAGGAAAGGAAAGGAAAGGAAAGGAAAGGAAAGGAAAGGAAAGGAAAGGAAAGGAAAGGAAAGGAAAGGAAAGGAAAGAAAGGAAAGGAAAGGAAAGGAAAGGAAAGGAAAGGAAAGGAAAGGAAAGGAAAGGAAAGGAAAGAAGGAAAGGAAAGGAAAGGAAAAGGAACTCTGGGCAGTTGAATTGTTTCCTCTTACTGCTTATTTGGGTACTTTTCAATTAAAAATAATATGAAATAAAGAAACATATGGAAAGATACCAAGGCAACCTGGCAGAGGACCTCCCATGAAGAGGACCAGCAGAGCTAGGGAACTGAAATTGACTAGCCTCTGGGCCACCACCCAATGACTGAAACTGACCAATACAAGGAAGCTAGCAATAAACACAAATTCACTGCTCTTCTTCTCCAGATGAAAAGATGGAGTTCAGCTCTCCTTTCTCCCTTGATGAAAATGGAGTAGTATTAAAAACAGAGAAAAAGAGAGATGACAGTTATGATAGCAACTCAGGAAATGAAATACAAATGGCTGGGCTAAAGAATGAAAGAAATAGTTGAGAGGTTAGGTAATTCCCAGAAGGGAATCAGTATGCACAGTATTCCTCTGAACACACCACCTGAATTCATAGTCAAGACAATGGTTGGCAAAACATTATGAATTTTATGCACTTTGACAATGTGGTAAGATAGTATCAATTTAAGAGAGAAAATGCTAAATGTCTGAAGCTGTCTCACATATGGGCTGGGAATGGAAGTGAAGTGAATGTGATGAAAACAAGGAGAGGTTGAGGCAGATAACTTGCTGCATCATGCACAAAAGGAGAAAGTATATGCATTTTCTCCAAATCAATATCATGAGGGCTTATGCCTCATGCAACCCATAGAAGCATTTGGATCATATAACCTTGAAGAAGGAATGCAAGGATGGTTACATAAATATTAGCTCAGCTTTGGAAAAGAAGGAGTGAGAAAGAAATTCAAAACTGCCCTGCCTTGATTCACTTTGTATAACAGGAGGAAGAGTGAAGCTATGTCAGATTGTCAAGAGGCTGTTATTATACCTTAAAACAAGAAGGTAGAGTTCTAATAGTCCTTGTGAAATATGTTTCCTGGCCTGGTACGTTTCAAGGGACTGACTCAACCTCTACTATAGTGCAGTGTTGGTGTGGTGTCGGGGGTTTCGGTTCAATGTGAAGGATGTGTGTTTGTGTTTATTTTCATGGTCATGATGTGCAGTGAAGATGGTGTTTGATTTCATTGTACGAGGTGCAATGACAATAAAGTAAACTAAACTAAACTAAACTATCACATGCACAAGGCTGAGATAGATCTCAAACTGTTGCTAGCCCTTAGTAGGACTACTATGTTCTTCTAGCATAGTTTAGTCAGAGAATGCAAATCTCTTGGTCTTTTATTTCTACAGAAACTAAGGGCCTCTGAAATATTTTTTTTAAAAAATGATGGAGGGAATGAGTTCTGTTAATTGCAGCTAAGCCAGGCCAAAGCAACACTGATGCTTAGTATGCAATTGATAATATTTTTGAAAGATAAGAAGAGAGGAGTGACCACTGGAATGGCACTGTGACAGGACAAATGTTTAAGCCAGTGCACCAATAAAGAATAAACATTTGGAGGGTTGAAATGAGCGGTCCTTGGTGCTCTCTGAGCTTGGTTGTTTTCTTGCAGACATTTCATTACCCAAAATAGGCAACATCATCAGTGCTAGTAAGGAGTGGGGTTTGTTCTCTGAGAGCAATCTCTGAGAGCAAACCTCACTCATTACTAGCACTGAGTTTACTTATTAGTTTGGGTAATAAAACATCTTACAAGAAAACACCCAAACTCAGAGAGCATCAATGACACACACACACACACACACACACCCCATTAAATCAGTGTTCCTTGACCTTGGGGACTTTTAAGATGTGTGGACTTCAACTTCCAGAATTGCTCAGCCAACTTTTCTCCCCACAAACCTGTATTTCTCCATTTTAGCAGAGATGTGCTACCTGTCTCCAAGAACAGAAGCTTGAGGAAGAAGACTGATAAATTCTGAAAACAACATGAGGTTCCAGAACCTCTAATAATGGGGTGAAAAGCTGACATTTGCTTGTCAATTTTGAGCTCCTCCATATCACCCTGGGTTTTTTTTTTTTAAAGTGAATTTTATTTGCATTACCTTCAGATGGGCTGTGATAATGAAAATAAACTAAAAGAAAAAGATGACACAATGTCCCTCAGGCCTACCGTTTCTGATTTTGCAAATGAGCTTTGGAAGTCCTTGTTTGTCCAGTCCTACATGTCCCTGCCCTGAGGCCCAGCATAGACCGTATCTTTATGCAGCAGCGCTTTCTTTTCCAAGCGAGAAATATCAGGCATGAAGCCTGCCAGGAAGTCGTGTCATCTGAAGCAAAGCCAACTGATGCCAGCCATGTGCAAATCTTTTGTGTGAGGGACAGACCAGCTTGGCTTATGGGGGACAGTACATCAAGATGTAAAATTGGATGGTTTGCTTTGATATTCAGTGAGAGGAATGTATATGATTTTCAACTTGAGAGGGATGTTCACCATTGCTTTGATATCCCAGACAATCCAACCATTCTACTATCTAATGTGAAAAGTACAACTCATCCTGAAGCAATTCTATACAAGGGTGTTTCATTACTCCTAGACTGGATTGGCACACTCCTGTTCCCAAATTATTCTCCCTCATTGGCAGTTGAGCTATTTTCTCCTCAACTACAATGCAGGAGGCTTTCTGAAGCCGCTTTTCATCTGGAAATGCTAGACCCTGTGTGGGCTGGGGAAAGCTCCTTTGGTAATGGAATGCTTGTCTCACTCCTCCTCCTGGTTCCTGAGTTTCAACTGCCCTACCTGGGCCTCAAAGGGGAATCCTATCTCAACAGCATTGCATCTCCTCAGTAGCCCTGAGTAAGCAAGCAGATGTGAAATTGACAAGATTCTATACTGTATTCTGTCCCCTTTTAGATGCTACTGATATATAGACCAGTGATTTTAGCTTCTTGTTCTTTTGCGAGACAGGGAAGTATAACACATGTTCACGTGGGAGTTCCTTTATTCATACTCTCTAGCTAACAACTATCCTTGGGAATATTTTTCTGGCGTATACCATTTATTTAGGAAAATTTGGCCTATCGAAAGTATTGCCTAAACACCAGAATTATTATTTGTGATGAATAAAGCAAATCATCACCTACATGTCATAATGAAAGCTGCATTAACAAACATAATAAATGAAAAATGAAAAGTCATTTAAGAGACATTTAGCAAACATTTTAATTCATCTTAATTATGACTGAAGGGATCTTTATAGATGCTAATGTTCTAGTAAAAAATTCATCAAGTGACAAATAATTACTTTAAATCTCCAAATCACATCATAAATTAGGCTCAATGGATTCTGTAATCTCTAAGAAATGTATGGTTAAAAATGGCTATATAATATGGGCACAATATTCTTCACAGCAAATTAACAGCAGATCCTACCTCCTTCTAATTGTGCTTCTGACCTCCCCATTTTTAATTGGGCATTTGGCTGTGTGTAGCATTTTATTTATGTTTTTCTTTGTACAGTTTTTATTTTTTATGATTGTAAACTGCCCAGAGTTACCCTGAGATATGATGGGCAGCCAATATATATTTAAAATAAATAATAAATAAATAGTCTTAGTGGACCAATGTAGATGCCAGTCTGATTCCAACTCATGTATTCTGTACAGCAATAAAACTGTTTCTTGAAAAACCGATTCATTTTAGAACACCTATGTTCACTGTGGATTATGGGAGCTGTAAACCAATGGAGCAGGACTAGCATTGCTACCTTTAATCCATGAGTATATCTCTCAATATCTGCCAACTTGATCTATTGGGATCTTCTGATAACATAGTTCTGTATATGTCCTATAGATCAGTTAAAGCACACAGGCACTAGATAGCAGCACCTATCCAGCCTTAGCCAATGTCAAATAAAGCTAAGCAGAGTCAGATCTGGTTACTATTTGAATGGGACACCAATCCTGGAATTGTTAGTTAAACTGAAAAAAAACCCAGCCTGGAGGAGGTAGAAGCCAACCATTTCCATATTATGAATTCAACTGAAGAGAGTCTTTATTTTTTTATATGTATGTGTATTTTATCAATATGAAAAACAACTGAGACAGCAACATGTAACATAAAACTCTGGGGTATTATTTATAAAGGCAATAAATCTGACATAAAAGTCCAAATAACAGAAGAAACAAGTAAAATCTTATATATATTTTTTAAAAAAAGAACACTAGCATGATTGCCAAAATGTCAGAGAAATACAGATTTACTTAGTGCCAAAAGGACTGTGGTGCCAGGCAAGCCTTTTGGGGAAGGATGCTTTGTGTGATACCTCATCCACAGCATCACAAAACTATCTGCCCAGCTTATGCCAACTGAAAAGCTCCACTTACAGTGAGTCCCTTCCCCCCCCTTTTTTTGTGCCTTCACGTCAATCTTGACTCCTGACAACTGCCTGGACAAATCCCTGCAGTTTGCTTGCCGGGATTTTAGAAGTGGCTTGCCATTGTCTGCTTCCCAGGGCTGAGAAAGAGTGTCTGGCCCAGGGTCACCCAGCTGGTTTTGTGCCTAAGAAAAGTGGGACTGCACACTCTTCCTTTTTGGAGCCTGATGCCCTAACTCACTCCAATAAACTGGCCCCAACATTTTAGCAATAATATTTTTCTATGAGGGAGTATTAAATATTTGCCCGTGGAGAAAAAAAAGAAAAATATAGTTCTTGGGCAATCCAGACAATTTTTGTGCAACCGAGGAGGCTGTTATTGTTGCCAGATCACTCACCTGAATCAGGAGTGACTTGAATGGCATCCATTGTGTCCTTTATGGGATCTGTATGTGTTCCATCAATCCTGTCCAATACAAGGGAATTCATGGCTGACAACTGGGAAATAAAAATGTGGAGCAAAAGAGAAGAATGTATCGAAGAGGAATAGTAATAAGGATATATAATTAAAAGTAGAATATAATATAATAGCATTAGTAGAAACTTGTTATTCAAGCTTTTATTTGTTATTCTGTAAACATTTGTTCTCTGTAACACATACATGCTATATTATGCCTCTGTAAAAGTATCTCCTGTATTCTTCTTGTATTAAGGCATATGAAACATATGGTCCTGCTATCTGAATCCATCATAAATCTTACCCTTGTTTCATCCAAAGACTGGCACTATCTCAAAGGACAGCTCACACACCTTTGATCTGTGTTGTTAGTTCTGTGTAGCAACAGGGGGCCAAGTGGCTAATTCGACTAATTAGGAGAACAAAGGAATTGTGAAAGCATCTACCTTTTGCGGGAAGGAGGTAACAGATAACAGATAATCAGAGTTGGAAGGGACCTTGTAGGTCATCTAGTCCAAAACACACACACACACACACACAAGCAGGAGACCCTGCACCATTTCTGACAAATGGCAGTCCAATCTCTTCTTGAAAATCTCAAGTGATGACGCTTCCACAACTTCCGAGGGCAAGCTGTTCCATTGGATGATTGCTCTCACTGTCAGAAAGTTTATCCTTATTTCCAGGTTAAATCTCTCCTTGTTCAGTTTCCATCCATTATTCCTTGTCTGGCCTACAGGCACTTTAGAAAATAGCTTGACCCCTTCCTCTCTGTGGCAGCCCCTCAAATATTGTAAGACCTCTATCATGTCTCCCCTGGTCCTTCTCTTCACTAGGACTAGCCATGCCCAGTTCCTGTAACCGTTCTTCATATATTTTAGTCTTCAGTCCCTAATCATCCTGGTGCTCTTCTCTACTTTTTCTAGAGTCTCAACATCTTTTTTATAATGTGGTGACCAAAACGGGATGCAGTACTCTAGGTGTGGTCTTACTAAGGCTTTATAGAGTGGGATTAGTACCTCACTTGATCTCAATTGTATCCCTCTGTTAATGCAATTTAGGATTGCATTAGTATCATCTGCAAATTTGGTAAATTCCCCTTCTATTCCCTCATCTAAGTCATTAATGAAGTTATTGAAGAGTACGGGGCCTAAGACAGAACCTTGTGGCACCCCACTGCTTACTTCCCTCCATGTAGACTTAGACCTATTAAGAACTACTTGTTGAGTACTGTTTGTCAGCCAGTTGTAAGTCCATCTAATGGTGGTGCTATCTATTCCACTTTTTTCTAGCTTACTAAGAAATAGGTTGTGGTCTACTTTGTCGAATGCCTTACTGAAATCTAAATATATTATGTACACAATATTTTGCTGGTCTAATTCAGTCACTATGTTGTAGAATAAAATAAGATTGGGTTGGCATGATCTGTTTTTAACAAACCCGTGCTGACTGCTAGTTATTACTTTACTTGTTTCTAGATATTGGCAGATTTGTTTTTTATTATCTTTTCCAGGATCTTCCCGGGTATTGAATTGGGAAGAATTGGGAACTAAGCTGATGTCTATAAAAGCAAGTCATACTTTCCCCAAGGTGTGGCTATTCCTTACATGCTTCATGTCTGCATGTTCTGGATATAGTTCACCCAGTATTTTGTTTTGGCCATAAATAAAATCTGCTTCTTTTTGCAAGCCTCATCTGAGTCTCACTATCTTTGGCATCTCAGTGGCTCGGGGAAACTTCTGGGACCTTACATTTTTGCATTACATTTAAGTTTGAACCATCCTGGGAATGGATCACAAAGTAAAAAGAATATGCTTGTCAGCCAGGGGAATATCAGTTGTTCCTGAAAGAAGTGAGAGGCAGAAGAAACAAAGGTGGTCTTTTTTCTGGCCAAAATTCCAAGTCTGACCTGAGATCAGAAAAGAAGATGGTGTATTTATATTACCATTGAGTGGTAATTTAGACTGTAACCTACAAAGGAGTTCTCTGCCGGATTCAAATATATGACCTATTTCGCCATCAAAATGGACTATTAACATTTGACAGTTTTGTGCAACTGGACCTGGGGTAAATTAAAGGATCAAGGATCCCCAACGTGAAGCTGCTGCTGGGTTGCTGCTGTTTCCTGAGTTTTCATCACACTCCTAACCAGCCCTGTCAGTTCAAAGCCCTTGGCGGGAGGGGGAAACAGGAAACAACAGGTCCATTAACCTCCCACCCCGCTGCGCCTAAAATAACAGGAGGAGGCAAAACAGCAGGAACAAAAGCATCGAGAGGGCTGGACCCCTGGATTTGGGGCAGAGAGAACCACCTAGTTTTAGCAGGCTGGAGCAGAGGATGGCAGGAAGAAGCCTACCATTTGTACTGCCATCACTTTTTCTTTCTCAAGTGGCAGGTCTGGGTCTTAAAAATAGATGTTTGTGACAGGCAGAAATTCAGTGCCAGCATTTTCTACAATATTACGGAGATAGGAAAAGCATCTGTGCTAAATGTTTGCTTATTGTTTTCATTTTAAAATCCAGTGAATTTAGAGGGAAACAGGCAGAATAAAGTTAAGTATCTCTATCTAGGTAAGCCCATCATGCTTGGTTCTCCCCCAAACTCTTGTCTCTTAAACGTGTTTATTTTTTATTGTTTAGGCCTCATATTTCCAGATGATGCAGAGTTAATATTTCCACTGTTACCTTTAAAAGCTTTGCTTTTTAAAGACCAACTTTAAAATAGCTTGTCTTCAGGTAGTGAAAGAGGCACTCACTTTCCGAATTATATTAAAAGGCAACCGAAAGGCAGACCAATTACACTAAAAGGCAAATTAAGTGTAAAATAACTGTTGTTTGCTGAATGTTTATGTCCCAATTAGCCATTTAATGTCTTCCATACCTTGACATATTTAGCATTATAGGAAACAAAGAATTACTGTTTCAATCAAAGACTAGTATACAGTGGCCTAACCCTGTTGATAAATTTCAATACTAAATGAAACATAACATTACAAACATAATGATTAAAACATTGCAGCTCTTAATTCATAAGTAAAATTATTGCAGCATTACTAAGCTAAATAAAATGCAGTCTGTAAACTATAATGATGTAAAACAGTTAATTAAGAAAAAAATAAAAGTTGTTAAACTATCTAAGGCATCTCAGAAATTCAACATCAATGTAATTCTAAGTAATATAATCATTAATTCTAATCATTATATTCTAACGCATATAATGAAAAGGAATGTATAGTCTTCCTCTTTTGCTTTTAGTCTAGCTTATTCATATTATTCAGTTTTTGTTCACTATGACCCACACTAGTCACCGTGGAATTAGGGGAGGGGTCGAATCTACCAAGTTGGCGATGGCTGAGATAACATTTACCAATTAGCCAATGCCCTCTAAGTCTGCAACTTTGTGGATTCTCATTGATTATATTTAGGTAGTCTTGGAGCCATTTAGACTAAAACACAAAGTAAATCTCAAAGTAAATTTAGGAAGAGACATGCAAATATAAAAGCAAATGAGAAAAAAAAACCCACAGAAGTGCTCCTCATTTATCAAAGACTGAGTCTAAAGTTTCAGCCTTTCTTCTAGTCTATTGCTGCATATCACACATCCTTTGTATTTTTTTCCTGTTGCACTAAGAATCTTTTAAAGGGGAAATTGTATATTAGGATCCACTTCTCAGCAAAGGTGAAATAGAAATGCATAATTGTGTGCCACTACAACAGGCAAACTTTCCAACTTATATCAAAAGGTAAAAAAGCCGGAACACTTCTTTTTTAAACAGCTGCTGGATGAACATTGCATATAAAGGGCAGGGTGCAGTTATTTAAAAAGATGGGCAACAGGCATTGCATATGTGTGTTTATATACGCATACACACATACACTTCCACCTCCCGTAAGTCTCTGTCCTAGTGAGATCCCGATGTACCTGTTAAGGCAAGCAATTCACAGCTGCCGGTTCTCTTCCGAGTTCCAAGATGCTTTGACCAGGCTCTCTGATTTACACGCTGTGCACCTTTGCTGTTTGGGATACACTCTGCTCAATCTGCTTCGTCCATCAGGGTCTGGCTGATGCTCCAACTTCTCTGCCGTCATCACATCCTGACTGTAGCCCTGCATGGTGGTTGGGGAGGAAAAACAAATATCAGGTCATAAAAAGCAGCCACTCCCATCCCCTTGCCTTAGTATTGGGCTGGGCAGAGGTCCAGGGAAGGGTCAGTTCATGCAAACCATTTTTATCTCTGAAAAATCCCATCGGATTGAAAATTGCTCCCCCTCTTCACCAAGATGTATATTTTCTTCATGTTGTAGAATAGCTGCATCTTCCAAAATTCCAAAATGAACATTTTACAGGCAGTCCTCAACTTACGACCACAACTGAGCCCAAAAGTTATGTTGCTAAGTGAGACGCAAATGAATTTTGCCCCATTGCATGACCTTTCTTGCCACAGTTGTTGAGTGAACCCCTGCAGTTGTTAAATTAGTAACCTGCTTGCTCAGTGGATCTGGCTTCCCCGTTGACTTTGCTTGTTCAAAGTCCACAAAAGGTGATCACATGACCCTGGCAACCGTCATAAATATGAGTCAGTTGCCCAGCATCTGAATTTTGGTCACATGACCATAGGAATGCTACTATGCTTGTAAGTGTGAAAAAAAGTCATAAGTTTTTTCAGTGACATTGCAACTTTGAATGGTCACTGAATGAACTGTTGTAAGTCTAGGACAGGGGTGGGCAAACTTTTTGGCTCGGGGGCCGCATTGACTTTTAAAATTTGACAGACGGGCCGGGTCAGCACAAGATTTTTTGGGAATCGCCCCCCCCACCCTTCCCCCACCCTTCTCCTCCTTCCCCTCCCCTCGGAGGCCCCTGAGTCAGGAGTTGCTACCGCCGGCGCGGCTCCACGTGGCTCCAGTCCCGCATTGCCTCGGGAAGGGAAAGGCAAAAAGGAAGAGCCGCGGCGGTGCTTTGCAACGGGAGCAGCGGCACCGGAGGCTCAGGCTCAGCGGCTCCTGGTTTTGCCTTTTCCTTCCCAAGGCAACGCGGGACTGGAGCCGCACGGAGCTGCGCCGGCGGTAGCAACTCCTGACAGTCCCAGCCGGACACCTGAGCGGAGCCCGGGCAAAACTGCCTGTTGCTGCTGCCGGAGCACCGCCGGGTCGCCTCCTCCAAGCAGCCTGCCCGCCCACCGGGCTTCCCCTCTGCTGTGCGGCTCGGGGCCAGGCGTGAGCGCCCGCAAGTTAAAAGGAAGCCGAAAGTTGCTGGGAAGTTGCTCGAGTGCTGGGAAGTTGCTCGGGTGCTGGGAGCAGGCTTTTAAAGTGCCGCCCGAGCAAAGTTTAAGCAGCCCGCCCGCCCGCCGGGTGGAATCCTTCCCGCTCCTCGGCGGGAAGACGCTCCAGCCTGCAAATTTTGCCTTTGCAAAGTTTAAGCCTGGAAGCCCCGGAAAAAAAAGGGGGATCGGCGGGGACTCACCTTCGGAGAGGTCGCACTCGAAGGTGATTTCGAACTCCCAGCCGAGGCCTTTGCAAATTTCTTTTCTTTCCTACCCCTAGATCGCTCCGCACTGTTTTGCAGCTTTGGGGGCCACGCGGCACAGGGCAATATGCCACGCCTAGCGATTTTTTTTCAGGGGTGGGCCGCATTGGACAAACCAATGGCAGCGATTTTTTTTCAGGGGCGGGCCGCATTGGACAGACCAACGGGCCGGATGTGGCCCGCGGGCCGTAGTTTGCCCACCCCTGGTCTAGGACTACCTGTATACTTTTGTTGTCTTAAATTGTTGTCCCAAGGCCAATTCTTGTGCATGACTTCATTGTATGAAGTAGGGAAATTGTTCTTTCTTTCCATGATTTCTTGCCCCACATCATATTTAGATCATTTTTAACTTGTTTTGTAGAGATTCTCAGTCCTCCAGCTCCCAAAGGTGCTTTTTTTCAGGAGGCAACTGGACTTTCATGTTTTTCTTTTGAAGATGTTTTGCTTCTCATCCAAGAAGCTTCTTAGGCTCTAACAGGATAGTGGGGAATGGAAGGATTTATACTCCTTGCAGACAGCTGGTCATTTGCATTCTTTAGAGCAGGGCTGTCAAACTCCCGGCTCGTGGGCCCCTCGTGGGCCGGATGTGTCACGTGTTGGCCACGCCCACGCCTGGTTTAGCGAAGGGGGAAAAAGTCCCGATACATCATGTTATGCCACCGTTGACGACATGAGTTGCACACCCCCTGCGTTAGAGCTTCGTTGAAGCACTTGGAGGTTTATCTGTGTCCTCAGGGTCACCTGAGTAGTGCTCCCAGTTCCTATAGTCTGCAATTTTTTCCCTCTGGAAATCCATTCCTACTCCCACACCATTCAAAGGCTGTTCATCCCAAAATGTATAGCCAAAGGTCTGTAGAGATTCTCAGTTCTTAATTGTTTTATTAGATGTCTTTTTGTGAAATGTTTATGTCTTTACCATCTAGCAAAATAGGTTAGGATAGAACTTAGAATGAAACTTGACAGAGAAACATGTTTTATTACATTTTCTGTAGAGAAACTGATTAGAAGAAAGGTTAAAAAGACCCCAAGGGTAAACCCATTTGGATTTTCGTTCCCAAAGTAAATTATAAAAGATAAACTGTAATGCCAG